GTTGATGCGTATGGACACTGCACACCAACTAGGCGAATGTCAATGGGGAGAGGGGAGCGTAGTTCAGAACTTCGGTCGCTGCTCACGATCAAGCAAATGTTTTACAGTGTAGCCCGCTGCTTACACAATGCCGGTGTATTAGCGTCATCACAATGTATATGCTGAACATCATTCAGCAGTCTTACTGCTCGTTTCTTACCAACAAATTGGCGAGTTGCTACTTGGATTGCAACGTGTCCAATTTGTTTTGCAAAATGTCCACTTTGGTTTGTAAAATATCCAGTTTGGTTTGCAAAATGTCCAATGTGGTTTGCAAAATGTCCAGTTTGGTTTGCACAATGTCCACTTTGGTTTGCAAAATGTCCACTTTGGTTTGCAAAATGTCCAGTTTGGTTTGAAAATGTCCAGTTTAAAGTGAAAATGGTATATATATATATATATATATATATATATATATATATATGCAAAGCTCTACGAATAGACATAAAGCCATCAGAAACCATGAGGTTCAAACAAAGGTACAGAAATAATAAAAGAAAACGCAACACAACAATGTCCATGGTTTCGTCAGAAGGCGAGATACTACCCGGTTGCCCAAGCCGAATAGGGTGTTGGCTTATGGGACACCAGCCCGAGCCTTTGGCTGAATAGCCTGCCCGCAAGGCAGCGGAGCGAATTCAGGGAATCGCGCCCATTGGGAGCCGGTGACTGATTGCTCAGTTCATACGCCTTTCGTTTGTTCCTTTGTCAAACAGGGGCCTAATGCTCCACAGAATTACAGCATAACGTTACTGGAATACAATGCTTCGCCAGGATGAAGCAAGGGGTAGTGAGTTTATTTAGTGGCGAGTCGTGTCCGCCACGTCACAGTGTTGTTGTTTTGTGTTCACCTTATCGATGCACACTATTAACCAGTATCACGTGTTCTGACAATACCACGGTATACCGGCTAAGAGGCGGGGGGGGGGGAGGCTGCCCATCAAAATTTCTTTCTCTTTGCGCGATCATAACAGGGAGTTGACTTAGGTGACCCCAACCCGAGCCTTTGGCTAAGTAGCCTGTCCGCAAGGCTGCGGGGCGAATGTAGGAAACCTCGCCCATCATGTGTCGGTAACTGAATATTCAGTCCCTACGTCTTTTGTTTGGTAAATCACCAAACACGGGCCTAATCCTCTGAATGAAATCAGCACTATTACTTTAGTAGAGTGCCCCACCGTGGTGGAACACTATCTCCGAACACTTCGCTCTAACGGGGTACACCCGAACCACTTTGCTGACTCTACAAGGAGGTTGTTCGGCAAGCCAGCATGGTTTGGCACTTAT